CCCAAAGGGTCAATTGTGAAAGAAGAAACAGAAAGGGGACTCTTCCTTAGCCTTCATGCACAAACCATATTTTAAGAATGAAAAGTATTCATTCAAAATCCTTTCACTTTGTGCAATTTATTATATATTCTTTGAATGAAAAGAAAACTTCTACCTGTTGGAGGAATACATTGATTTTTCCTCTGGAGTCACTGTCGAATAAAGGTCACACTATGAATTTATTGATTTTTTCCACATAGTCCCTGAAGATATAGGTTCCCTGGCACTGAGGGGGGATATTAACCTTTTGATATTCTTTTTTTTTTTTTAAAGATTTATTTATTTATTTGTTTGTTTGTTTGTTTGTTTGTTTATTTATACAAGCACTGGGTACAGTCAGAAGTGCGGGAGGGGGAGAGAATTCACCAGAGCCAGAGCAGGGAGCAGAGCAGGCAGAAGGACCGAAGTACACTGCTGAGGGGAGCAGCAGGCGGCAGGAGAGGTCTGCGCACCATCTGGGACCCTTGCCCGGTGGCCGGGGATGGAACCGGCGTTGCAGAAGCTGCAGGCAGCTTCGCAACCCAGCGCTCAACCGCTGCGCCACTGGGGAGGCCCCCTTTTGATATTCTTAAGATAAATCTATTGAACTCTTCTTGGGAGATGGTGAAGACTGTGTGGGGAAAGACCCCCAAGAGGAATGAGACTTGACCTCCTGCTGAATCTAATAGGAGCACAACTTTGCTTTAGAATATCTTATTACCCCTCACCTAGTTGGCACTACATGAACTCAGTGTCCTTGTCCACAGCCTTGTTCACGTGGCTCCAGATTAGGTTATTTTGAGGGAGAATGCGTGTTACAGCACTCTTAGAGAACTGATGTCACTCAGGACTTCAACTTCAGTGAGGCGTGGGGTCCCACATTCCCCCTCAACTCCAGATCTATGTATGGCACCTGCCTTTGATTCAGAGGGCAGTTGTTAGCCTCTGAGCCTGGCTCCATCTTCCTGCTCACTGTTAACAGAGTAGGTGATACAGTAAATAACAGATCAGAGAAATGGTGCTGCTTATTTCAGAGAGGTATACATCAAATTCTTCAGCACATAATTACGACTTTTTGTCTACTTTAGAGGAAGGTTTTTTTGCATTTGTATAATGTACATTTTCTATACATTTGTATATTTTATACATTTGTATTATATATAAATATATAATATTATATACATTTATATATATTTTATACATTTGTATAATGATACATTGTTAGAGTGACTTTAAGGGCTCCAAGGAAGGAGAGTTACTTTTGTCAGGGCTCCCTGAAGGTTTCATGGAAGAAGTTTGAAATGAGACTTAACAAACAGAAAATAATATTTGATTAAGTATTGCTGGGTGGCAAGAATGGGGGATGCAGTGAGGCCAATGCATTGGGAACCAGAATGGGGAGATGTGAGTGGACTCAGTGATATTTATCAACTCTGGTTGTACATTAGAATTATTTGAGGGCCTCCCCTGGTGGTGCAGCAGTTGAGTGCTGGGCTGCAAAGCTGCCAGCAGCCTCTGCAGCACTGGTTCGATCCCGGCGCTGGTGAGGGTCCCACATGACGAGCAGACATCTCCTGCCACACCCCCTGCTCCCCTCAGCAGTGTATTTTGTCACTCTGCCTGTTCTGTTCCCTGCTCTGGCTCTGGTGAATTCTCTCACCCTCCCTCACTTCTGACTGTGCCCAGTGCTTGTATAAATAAATAAAGAAAGAAAAAAAAGAAAGAAAGAAATCTTTTTTTAAAAAAAAAAGTTATTTGAAAGAATTTTTTTCACTTGTAGATATACTGGGTGTCAGCCCAGACCAATGAATTAGAATATTTTGTAGAGGGCTTCAAACCTCAGTGTTTTGTAAAGTTCCCAAGATTATCCTAAATTGCATGCAGAGCTGAGATTCTCTGAGCTGTGCATAGAATACAGGAAGTGGAGTCCTTGGAAATGTTTCAAAAGAGTAGGTAGATTAGGAAGAATTTCCTTTTTTTTTGCATTTGAAAAGCCATCTGATATGGCTTATTAATTTTCCCACTGTGGATAGTACTTAGAAGACACATTTTATATAAAATAAATTTTTTAAATTTTGTTTGAAAAGAAGAAAAGTATGTTATTGAAATGTGCCTAGCACTGTGCTAGAGGATCTATTTTGAGAATATGGTGGATCTTTGAAATCATGAGAGGTATTCTGAGATGTCCAAAATCTACAGTTCAGAGTATTTTACCACTTTGGTGACACGTGATGAAACACACACATATTTTGAAGAATGAGAATTTTCTTAAAAAGGGAGACACATGGGTTTTGAAACCACTTGTAAATTTATTCCACAACTTTACCACTTCCTCACTGTTATAAACAAGACATACTTCTAGAGCCTCGTGTTCGTATCCTTAAATCCACCATTTTACTCTGAGATTTGAGTGGCCACATTGAGAGTCCCTGACGGGTGTATTAGGAGTAAGATAGCAATTAGAAATAGGATCATTTTTATAGCTTGGAAATACTTACTGTGTTAACTACACCTCATTCCTGAGTTTACACAACATTGTGTTCTTATAGGAGGCATCTGTAGTGCAAGGCTTCTATTCGGCAGTGTAGTCTTCTACCCCTGCAATTAACAAGGAAAATCGAGACTGGTTACCATAACTTCATCAGGTGCTTTAACTCAAAGTCTATAATTTTAACGTTTAAAAAACAGAATCCTTGGGCCTCCCTGGTGGCACAAGGGGTTAAGATGCAGCACTATGAAGCTATCCACAACCACTGCAGCACAAGTTTGATCCCTGGCCAGGAAGCTACCCACATGGTGCGGCAGACCTCTCCTGACTCGCCCACTGCTCCCCTCAGCAGTGTATTTCAGTCAGTGAACCTGTTCTGTTCCCCACTCTGTCTCTGGTGAATTCTCTCACCACCCCCACACACACCTCTGGCCTGTACCCCAGCTCTTGTATGCATAAATAAATAAATCTTTAAGAAAATAAAAAACTCATAAATATCCTCCTGATTCTCAGTGTCCTGTGTCTAAAAAGATTTTACAGAACCCTCTTGTGATTCCTCTCGGTTCAATTTCAAGCTACTTTGAAGCCTCCTCTTACACTAGGCAATCTCAGAAACAACTAGTTTCACAATATTCTCCATTCTGTGAAAACTGGTCCCTTGTTATTGAATAAAACTATAGAATATTTTCAGCTTGAACAATGATAAAGGGTTAGAAGATAGGTCTTTATGAACACTGGAAATACTCTTACACTATCACTGTTTTCAAGCATGTTTACTCTGTTAGCTGAGCCAGTTATTAATCAACTGTTAAAATTTGAGACAACATCACATTCGCTAAGACCAGTTTCTCTAACTTCAAAGTCACCGAGACCTTTGCAAAACATCTGAAAATTTAAATTGATTAATTTGTTTGTGCATATGTGCTATTAAAATTTGTTCTTTAGCCTCCAGGAAAATATTTTATCATGGTGTATGGAATTTTGCTGAGTGAAATAGCCTTTATTTTCACAACTTGAGTCACAGAGTGTATTTTTTTAAATTTTACTGAAATAATTACATATTTGACTTGTTCGTGCTGAAGTTAGAAAATTGAGATCTCATCCCAGAACAAGGTGTAAATAAAATCTTGTGAGATGTCTCCACCTAGCGGATAAAGTGGTGTACTCCTACTCTGTTCATCCGTTATTAATGAATGGAAGGGTGTAGAGCAGCCGCTTTGAGACAGTGAAAATCTGCTCGAGCAAACAGAGTTTGGATGATTAAAAAACCACCACAGATGGAAAAATAAGAAATAAATTAGAAAACTTATTTATTATAAGGCAACCACTAAAGAAGTTTCTTACTGCATTTAGAGTTCAAAAGGTAGTAAATTCCTGAATGAATTCCACATCTACATTCTCTACTTATCAAAGTATTCTACAAATATTTGTCTCCTTGATTGGATCTGCACTGGAAGCCAAGCTATTTAATCAAGTGAAGTCATCCACTAATATGATTTCAGGAATTGGTGGGATCCAAAACAAAAACAGTAAACTAAGCTCGTAGATACGGGGAATGGATTGGTGGCTTTCAGGGAGTGGGGGAATCTGTAAGGTGGTCAGTAGCTACAGGGTCCCTGCTATAAAGTAAAATAAGCCATGGAATGCAATGTAAAGCTTAGGGACTATAGTTAATTGTACCATATTGTACATTTGAAAGTTGCTAAGAGAACAGATCTTGAAAGTTATCAAGGGAGAAAAAAGCTTGTAACTATGTGAAAGATGTTGGCTAGATTTATTGTGACAGGTGTTAACTAGGTTTATTGTGGTTTCATTTTGCAGTATATACCTATATCCAACCATTACATTGTACTCCTGAAATTAATATGTTACACGTCAATTATATCTCAAAAAAGGTATACAATCTGTTGATTTTATACCTTTATATTTTACACTGCAGTGTTAACTAGCACCTCTATCACAGCACATAATTATAGTTTGTTTTTTTATGGTGAGAACAACTAAGGTCTGGTCTCCTGGCACCTGGAAGATTATATTGCATTATTGTTTATACAAACAAAAAGGTATTTAATCAGCTTTTTGGATTTTATATGGGGGAAATTAAGAATTTTATAGAGGGTAGCTTAGAAAAAGTCCATTTTCAAAAATAATATGCTAATTAAAAATAGAAATCCAAAGACCTTAAGTATTATTAGATTTTAATAGTTTCTGTCCTATCTTGTTTTTGTTCTGTTTGATTCATTTTACAACTCAAGTAACTTTCCTGTGTCCCATTTTTTTCTGAGAAACAAAATGAATATATTAATTCTGTACTCAAAAAAGGTTTTTTTGTATGGATTAATTATGTTCTTTGACAGATACTGGAAAAACAGATAAATAAAGCAGAGAATACACTCTTTGGAAGAAATATATTTTAAAAAATCATTTTCATATGAGGCAATAAAAACAGTAATATACCCTCGTCCTTAAATGAATACAATTTTTGTTTTCACAGATACAGGTTAGTTCCAAAGGTTTATTTTCCTGCACAAGTTCATGATGTTGTACGAGCCACGAAGTATTTCCTGCGGCCAGAAATCTTACAGAAGTATTCAGTTGACCCAAGCAGAATTGGCATCTCTGGTGACAGTGCTGGGGGAAATCTGGCTGCTGCCCTGGGCCAGCAGGTAACAGACTGCCCTGAGGTGCTGATGGTAGGAAGGTTTGATGATGTCCAGCAGACCCACATGTCCTCCGATGCATGTGGCAGAGGCTCAGCCAATAAAAGGTCACTCTGCAGCCAAGTTAGTCTGATGCGTGCACTTGGCGTGGCGTAGGTTCAGAAACCTTTCCAGAGTAAGAAGAGGCATCATTGAAAGAAGTATTGTCTCTCAGTGCTTATGAAGACCCTGCTGATAATTAATGTGAGAGGACTAACATTTTAGAGGGCTCTCTTGCTCCTCGGGGGTATGTATCGAAATTAAATAACTCCTGCCCCTTTCCATGTTGGACTTGCCAATTGAGGTATTTTTGATTAAATTTCATTTGCTGAGATTGTTGCCTTAGAACTTTAAGCCAAATTTAAAAAGTGTTTTCAAAGTTTTTTAAGATAAAATGATTTTTTAAGAGATCTAATTGACCTTATTAAATGATTCACGTATTGGGCAGCACCCCAATTAGGTACTGCAAGGGCTTACACAATGGAGGATATTTATAGACAGAAAGGGTGAGACAAGGTGATTTGCCTAAGATAAGATTATTTCAGATAAAGCCACTCTCCCTGAATGCAGGCGGGGTGCTTATCACAAAGATGACCTCGTTGGTACTGGTTAGGAAGCTCCAGATTGATTGGCTTAGGAGGACACTTATAAAAGAAAACTTAAATGTTTCAGCTACCCGAAATATCACAAAAGTTAGTCTAGCTTTACCTGATTAAATTTGAAAATTGTGTCTAGAGCCAATAGCACCTAAAATTTTAGGCAGCTGTGCAAATACGAAGACAAGCATTTTTTTTTCCTCTTATGGATTCTGTAACTTAAGAATAGCATATCTGCCTTCTCACCTCCAAATGTCACTTGGTGTTCTCAAAAAACATCTGCCCCTGTATTAACGGAGCACCTTGGTTTCTTTTCTTTGCTATAATTAAAGCACTTGCCAATGGCAGAGTTGCTACCCATGTGCCCAACTGTGGCAAGAACAAAGGCCCAGAGAAGTGGGGAGTATCTCATGGCCTTTAAAGCCATACGGTAAAGGGATGGAATCCAGCCCTCCCCACCCCTCTGTGAGCTAGGATTTTGTCAAGTCCCTTAACATTTATCTCTGAGTCTTAGGAAAATGAGGATAATTCTATCTGATTGCAGAACTGTTGCCAGGACTTAGTCAGATAATCTATAGACAATTCTTGGCATGTATTATTAGTAGTATTTATTGATGATTTTCTCTTGTGATTCTAAGGATTGAATTTGAAGCAAATTTTCTGGTTAAAATAGATTCTTTAGTTGCCCATGAAGTGTACAGCAGCCCAGTTAATTCTGTAGGATGTCACATGAAAAATATATCATCTTAGACACTAGAATTAGAAAACAAGGCAATATATTCCCAGGGAGACATGGGACAAGAGAAATCTGCTGAGGTGGGAGATTCGTTCACATTCCCAATCAGCTTCACTCTGGGGCACATGCGCATTAAGTAGAATGAAGAGTGCTTGGCCCACTCTATTTAAATTCTTACTCTCCCTCCAAGCATGAAGGCTACGTACTTATCAGAGGAGCTACCCCCAGGTCCTCTTGAAACACTCAGTCTCATCATCTCTTTAAACTTTTCTAGCCCCTCCCCATTAGGGTCTGACTCCTTTTTTTTTCTCTCCAAGAAGCCATGCCTTTTGTGGCCTTGCAGGGACTACAAAAGTAAATGAGATTCACACGTTATCCTGCAAGATCATGTGCCTTTTTTTTTTTTTTTGAAGTGCCCACTTAAAACCATGAGCAAACATCATACTTTGATTCCTAGATAACCAGCTGCTTGAAAGAATGGTGGTGATGGGGCATTATTTATTTTTAAGTCTCTATTGTTTAATAGCATGCCTGGGAGAAATTAACACTTATGGGCCTTTGGTTGATTGAGTCAGAGTAAAGCATCAAGCTACTTTGTAAGATATAGTTTCTGTAAAAGGAGCCAAGCAAATGAAATAATGTTTCTGATTCCTCTTCTCCAGTTTAATCAAGATGCCAACCTCAAAAACAAGCTCAAGCTGCAAGCTTTAATTTATCCAGTTCTTCAAGCTTTAGATTTTAACACACCATCTTATCAGCAAAATGCGAACACCCCAATCCTGCCCCGGTATGTCATGGTCAAGTACTGGATGGACTACTTCAGTGGCAGCTATGACTTTATCCAGGGAATGATAGTTAACAATCACACTTCACTTGATGTGGAAGAGGCTGCTGCACTCCGGGCGCGTCTGAACTGGACATCTCTCTTGCCAGCATCCATCACAAAGAACTATAAGCCTGTCATGCAGACCACTGGCAATGCCAGGATCATTAAGGAGATTCCTCAACTGCTGGATGCCCGTTCTGCCCCGCTCATCGCTGACCAGGAAGTCCTGCAGCACCTCCCAAAGACCTACATTCTGACGTGTGAGCATGACGTCCTAAGAGATGATGGAATCATGTATGCAAAGCGTTTGGAGAGTGCAGGCGTGGAGGTGACCCTTGATCATTTTGAGGACGGTTTCCATGGCTGTATTATTTTCACCAGCTGGCCCACCAACTTCTCAGTGGGAATCCGGACTAGGAATAGTTACATCAAGTGGCTGGATCAAAACCTGTAAAGAAATAAAATTTCTAGAATGCTTGAGCTCCTCCTGACCTCCTGTACATGCTTTGGAAAAACATGCACTTTTTATTCAACTAATTTCCTCTTGTTACTCGTGAATCTCTATTCCCTGTAAACTTTGTGTTAATTTAATTTTTTAAAAAGTGATTTGACTAACAAGTGCAAAAACAACTGAATCTGGTTCTCAAAATGGACCAGGGCCTGTCTCTCTGTTCTACTCATTGTAACCGAACTACTTCTAATCCCCACAACTGCAGACAGCAAGACTAGGAACTGGGAATAGCTTTGGGTCCTGCCTTCAACAAGAGTTTCTTTTCAGAAGAAATTCAGCAGCCGATGAGATAGTGACTTTAATGAGCTAAGAAAAGTTGAGCTCCCCTTCAACTCTCTAGAGTTTATTTTGGGTTCAGAGCATTGATAAACGTGTGCACTTTAAAGGTCAATACTCTTTCCTCTATGGGTGGATGGTTTTGTGGGGATTTCAACAAAAGCACTCTGACAAGGACAAGTTTCTCAAGACTTTCTTCCTTAGAGTGTTAATTTTATGAGATAGTTATCCGGCAGTCCAGTTGGATTATGATGATACTTGAAAGTTCCTTTCTACCACTATTATTAGAAAATACGTCATTGCATGCACTGGAAATCTGTACATTAAGTTTTTTTAGTTATGTTCTCTCTTTGTGGGGAGATCTTTGGGAGCAAATTTGTTTAGATTTAAAATAAATTTTCCATTACTAAACAGGTAAAAACAGACAAATGAACCAGGTTATTGTTTCATAAAGATTACTCCTGATATAAATTACCAAGAGCAGTGTGTATATATTTGGTATAGTCAGAAAAGAAGATGCATTTAATATTATTTTAAAATTATGAAAAATACCTTCAGAGGGTCTAGTTTATTCTTAAACCTAAACTTTTTCACTTACATGACTTTAAAATGGGGCTATTTTGGTATATATAATGTATGGTTTATTTTTTAAAGTTATTTAATGTTAATATATGTAGCTAGAAAGGTTTTTCAGAATAATGTCTGTAATGAATATTAAAAATAATATTTTTAGAAAACTACCATAGGGTCTAAAAAACTACCTTAGAATCATATCCTCCTGTAATTTTATGGACAGAGATAAAATAACTGTTAGTGCTACTATATATACTAGGCTACATATTTTGATGTTTATATGTATACACAAATTGAAATAAGTAGAAACCATGACTGTCCTAGTAAATTCATCTAAGCTTAGGCAAGGCATGTACTGCTCATTTCTGCTCTCTAAAGGTCAGAAGAACACTAGATCATATCCTTCTGGGAAAAGGGCATACAGTGTCACCTGGTGCCTTCCCCCTGTGTCTCCTTCTGGCCAGGTGGCAAAGTTACAACAGCCCAACTTTCACTTCATGTGAAGCCTTCACTGCCAGTGAGAACCTGCTTGGCATAGCAAGGAACTTCAATTTGGTTTGAGTATCTCTGCCCTCCTCCTGCCACTCTTCTGCCCCCACCCAGGCTACGTTTGGGGATCATAGAGAGCAGCACTACGGCCAAGGGATGATACAACAGACTCATCTGTGGGGAGAAAGTAGCACTTTTTCACTCATTCAGAAGATGACATTTCCCCACTTCTGGAATTGAAATGAATGAAAATTTGCACACTTATTTTTCATTTATTATTGTGTAAGCCAGTAGTATTTTATGTACAGTGTGTGTGCCTGAGTGCATATTAAAACAATCATGTGAATTTACTTGCTAATGTGTTCAGGCAAGTCATTTACCACCTCTTGTCTTCTTTTCCCTTTCTGCGAAAATCAGAGAATGGAATTACTTATCGCTGAGGCCTCTTTCCACTCTAAATCCCACTAGTTTGTTAAACAGGACAATTATATTGACCTTTCCTACAGTGAATTTTTTTCCCACATACACAGAGACATTCATCATCAAAGTATTTTTCTTAAAAAACTGGAATTTTAATTCTTGCTCTGATAACTACCTCCCTCATTTAATATCATTCTTTTTGACACCACTTAAAGGAATCAGTTTTTGGACCTTATTTGAAGTTACCTGTCTCTGAGAAAGCAAATATCATATATGCAGGGTTGCTTACAATGACATTTGCTCCTAGAATTGTGAGCCAAATCCTAGAGTAATTATAGATAATAACAAATGATCCCAGGGCTCTAAAGGGCTCTCTCAGATGAAAAGGACATAAAAGAAAAAAGGGATCAACCACTGTTTCTGGTGAAATACTTGAGTTTCATTAAAGCTTTTACAGACATGAATAATTATCTAATGACTTGCACTGTATCCCACCTCGGATCTCTCTAGAAAGAAATTCCTCTTGGAATGATAGCAATTGGGAATCATGATATACAAAACCCACTAGAAATGAGAGGCTAGACCAAATAAAAATCTGAGTCCTTTGGGAAGCCTACTGAGTTGATGTTAATGGTTATGTTAATGGAACAAGTTCATTTTCTTTAAGTTTTTCTTCATATGAAAAAAAGTTTATGCTCTGCTGGTTGATTTGAGATGGGGAAGAGTATGGCTTTGTTTTCTTTTCCTATTTTATGAAAAAGCTGATTGTCTTTTTGTCATGTTACTGTTTGTGAAATATGAACATAAATATATGAAGAAACAATCTTGAAGTACTGCAAAATATAGTGAAGTGTAAATTAGTTTTAGAGTTTTATCATTGATTTGGTAAGCTTTTAAGACTATTGTATAATTATCTTGGTGGATAGAATATTTTGTGCATGACCTTTTAACCTTTGACTTTTTGCTGATTTCCCATTGCAAAGGGGTAGGCAGATTTTATGAAGGATTTTAGCAATGTATTTTATAAAATGAAAATTCAGTGTGGAAACAAGAAAGTATCTATTTTGACTCATGTTTGGAAATAAAATGGCTCCATCTGGGAATGTGCCTTTTTCACTTACCCTTGTGTTGTTGTTACCAGGTTCATCTCTCTTTATTTGTATATCCCAAATACTTGGTGTTGGGCACCAGCTCAAAGCCTGCCCTGGTTCATGATACCAGCAGAGGAGAGAACGGTCAGGATGCTGCCCCCCCACCTGGCAGGGCCAGCAACAAGTCTTTATTGAAGCAGCAGGAGACAAGATACAGCAGCAACATTTGGAGCAGCTGCAGCAGCAGGTGCTAGCAGCAGTCACCTGGAGCTCTTGGGGGAAAGGGGGTGCCTTGGGCAGCCTCAGGGGCCCCCTGCTCCAGGCAGCAACAGAAGCAGCAGTAACAGCAACAGAGGCAGTAGTCAGTGGGGGTGGCGGCGACCCCTCTGGGCTACAGCCACAATTATAGCCCCTCCCCCTCAGGAGCCCTGTTAGCTTTTTTTATTTTTTAAAGTTTTTTTTTTGTTTAAAGATATATATTTATTTATTTATACAAGCACTGGATACAGTCAGAAGCGCGGGAGGGCAAGAGAATTCACCAGAGCCAGAGCAGGGAACAGAACAGGCAGACTGACGAAATACACTGCTGAGGGGAGCAGCGGGCATGGCAGGAGAGGTCTGTTGCACCATATGGGACCCTCACTGGGGGCCGGGGATCGAACTGGTGCTGCAGAGGCTGTGGGCAGCTTCACAGCCCAGTGCTCAACCGCCGCGCCACCAGGGGAGGCCAGCCCTGTTAGCTTTTATATGATTTATAGATGAAGCGGACAGGGGCCCAATTTATGTTTAGGTTATTTAGTGTGTTTTTGTGCACGCAAACTATACATCCAGGTTTCATATTTGCTGCTCTCTGCACATAGGGACTCCACCTCAAAGCCACATGTTATCTACTAGGGCACCTGTGCTGGAAAGTGATAAGAAAAACAGCCTGAGAAATTCGGAGAAAACTATTTTTTCATTTGCTCTACACCTGGCCACAATCCTGTCCAAATCACCTGCTCACCTGCCAATTCCAATGAGCCCTTCCTACACCAAATATCAATTCCCAGACTCCAGCAGAGTATTTAGGAATTCAAACCAATTCTGCTCAATGCTATCTATGCAAAGATAGAATCAGATTTCACAGGTAAAGGGCTGTTTCCCAAGACCACTCTCCATAGGCCATCTGCAAGCCCAGGATGTTACCTGTACTCCTGACCACTTCACTGAAGATTGAAGGTTCCCACAGACCCCGCTTCAGACTCTAGATGCCCATTGCAAGCCCAGATTTTTCCCTGGCTTCAGATTGACCAACTATAGATCAGAGGTTCCCAGAAACTCCTCTGGTTCAATTAATTTGTTATAATGATACACAGAACTCAGAGAAACCATTTATTCATTAGATCACCAATTTATAATAAAGGATATAAGTCAGGAACAGTCATATAGAAGCGATGCTTGAGGCAAGGCATGGAGAAAGTGCTTTCTTGCCCTCTCCAGGAGTGCTATTGTCCCCAAATCTCAATGTGGTCAGGAAATTGAAAGGTCCCTGAAGAACCTCCTTTCAGTCTTTTATGTAGGTTTCATTACATAGTCACAATTGATTAGATCCTTGGCCATTGGCGTTTGGAATAACCTTCATCCCATCACATCCCTCCTGAGGTCTGAAGTACAACAGGAAATTCCAATCTTCTAATTACTTGATTTTTTCTTCTGGCAACCAGCAGCCTTTATCCTTAGGTGCTTCCAATAGCCACCGCATTCACATATCAAAAAGCTTTTATCACTCTTAAGTTTTATGACATAAGTTTTTTGGATGCTGTGAGCCAGAGATGTGAAGGAAGACTAAATATATATGTGAAATTTACATTTTGGTCATTTGACTAAAATATTTATTTCCTATATATCACAATATCATAAAGACATTCATTTCACATGAGGATAGAATGTATTCTGCTCACATTGGGGAAATCTGTCTGTGACTGGCTAGTATATTTTATAGAATATAAAAGCCACACAGGTCCTAAGATTATTTTGGGACTTGCAAAACACATATTTGGAAGGGAAAATTATCACACAAATGAGTTTGGGTTTGAATGAGGTTAGCCAAATAAGTATCAATATTACTGAAGATAAGTTCTCAAATTCACACTATCATCACAAGCAAATCTAATAATAATTTCACACTTTAGTATATAATCATATAGAAATTTACAAAACATTTTTTTTCCAAATGAAACTTTTGGGTTTCTAAATAGTAACATATTTATGTGTAAGTTAGATTTCCCTATATAATTACATCTATTTTATCTTATTCAACAAAACCTCTGGTGTTTGTCTATTACATTTTGCTGGAGGAAACTGAGGTTTGTCTATTATATTTTGCTGAAGGAATCCATTTACAGTTTCCACAATTCTCCTCTGGGGCATTCAAAATGTACTTTTTGTGTTTTCTTTTTTAAAAAATTATTTATTTATTTATTAAAGATTTATTTATTTATGCATACAAGAACTGGGGTACAGGCCAGAAGTGCAGGGTAATGAGAGAATTCACCAGAGACAGAGTGGGGAACAGAACGGGAGAGATCTGCTACACTCTGTGGATCACCTCCCTGGCTGGGGATCAAACTCATTCTGCAGTGGCTGTGCTATGACTTAATCCCTTGTGCCACCAGGGAGGCCCTTTGAAATATTTATTTTTATTTATCTGTACATACAAGAACTAGGGTGTAGGCCAGAGTTGGGGGGGAGGAGCGTGTTGGGAGAGAATTCACCAGAGACAGAGTGAGGAGCAGAGCAGGCAGATGGACTGAAATACACTGCTGAGGGGAGCTGCAGGCAAGACAGGAGAGGTCTGCTGTTCCATGTGGGTTAGCTCTCCGACCAGGGATCGAACTCTTGCCGCAGTACCTGGTGATAGTTTGATAGTGCTGACTTAATCCCTGCACCACCAGGGGGGTCCCACATTTTGTATTTTCAATAGTTTTTAAAATATTTGTTATTTTTATTCTTTTTCTTATCCCCACTTAAAAAATTCATATTTTCCAGTAAATCCCTATTTAAACATCTAGGGGATATTGATATCAGTACCAGATTCCCCAGGTTTCAGAGACTATATATGCAAATATGATATGTGGTAATTATACATGGCTTGCTCAACCCTGTCACTCAGGACCAGCATTTTGTGTCATTGGAGAGACAAAGAAGCTGATGGAAAGTTATGTCTTATTTGGAAGGCTCTCTCTACCTGGCACCCCAATTTTCTCACACCTGACTCACTAATGACATTTCAGACAGGAAGTTCCACCTTCTCATGGAACAGGGTGGTCCCCCAGAGAAAGGGGAGGTTCCAAGTTCCCTGGCCTACCTACGGAAGGAAGGGTGGAGCTGAGCAGGGGGCAGAGAAGCTGGAGAGGAGACAAGAAGGAAGGAAGCAGGATGGAGAGCAATGAGGAAACCTGGAGGAGACACATGGAGCAGAGAGACACGTGAAGAAACTGCGCTTGCCTTATGGTCCTGGACTGGTTGAAACAGATGTGGGTGAGAGACCCGTGGGGAGGTTAACAATGGCAGCTTTTATCTTGATTTTGATTTTCCTCCTGTCCTGGATGAGCTGGCCCCCTTCTGCACCTTTCCTATAGGTCTCTACCAGGAGGTGCCTTAGACTTGTGGCAGGCTTTCCATCCTCAGTGGCCACACTTTGGGCCAACCCAATTTGGTTGGACATTCACCCCCCAAGGAGATGGGAACTTTTGGGTGCATGATTTGGAAACTTTACTATCTATTCTTTATTGCACGCTAGTTGCATTAATGTTCCTTTCCATTAAAGGTCTTATAAACTAGAGTATGGTTTGTCTTGATGCAGCAGATCGCAGAACCTGTTTAGAGTGGGCAGGTTTGGGGGTTTTGGGGTGTCCCTCATCTTGCCCTGTAACTCTCAGACAGTCTGCCCCAACTAGCACAAAGCCCTTCCAATCACCACCCTTCTCTTCAGGCCGCATCCTCTCCATCTGATTGCTATGTATATCACTGCTGTCTTCCATCTCACTTCTTTATCTGCAATCCTTATACATTATTTGAAATATGCTTACCTTTGCTTTGCCCATACTTAAATGTGAGCTCCAAGGCAACAGGAAATTTTTCTTGTTCATTCCTGTTCCCTCAGCATTTAGGAAAGAGCACACAGTGGAGGTTCAAAATGTGTCTTTTTTTTTTTAAAGATTTATTTTATTTATACAAGAACTGGGATACTGGCCAGATGCACGGAAGGGTGAGAAGATTCACCCAGAGACAGAGAGGGGAACAGAACATGCAGACTGACTGAAATACACTGCTGAGGGAAGCAGAGGGAGAGACAGGAGAGGTCTGCTCACCATGTAGGTTGCTCCAAGGCCAGTGGGGATCAAACCAGCCCTGAAGAGGCTGTGGACAGCTTCACAGCACTGTGCTCAACCACCTGTGCCACCAGGGAGGCTCCTCAAAATTTGTTTTTGTATAAATAAATCCTCACTGAGGAAAATGGAGCTTGTAAGAATTAGGATATTATTTTCCATGTATTTCTTCTAAAAGTAAGTTTATGTTAAATATAACCTTAGGTATTTATGACTGAACACTTGAAGCAAGATTAAATTATTCAGAGTAATTTTATTTCTGTTTTTTGCTAACAAATTTTAAAGCAAACAATGTTTTTGAGTGAATGAAGATTTTTTTCCCCCTTCTTTTTACAATCAGGCATTTCTTGAATTCTTTCTAACATATATTAAAGTTTTTACTCGGTTACATAAAGTGTTGCAACCTGCCCTAAAAGAGTGATCTGTATAACACATTCCACAAATGTTCCAACTGCATACTTTGATGAATTTTAACCGGTCAAAGAAGTTCTATCACTTTTAAGATGTTGTCTTTTCTTCTTTATGTTTTCATTATTTTTTCATAGGGAATCAAATTCCATGTTCTTTATTCCAATTAAATTCATGAAATAAATATACTTTTTAAAAAGAAATAAACTTAACTGGCCACAGATCAAAGTTATT